ATATGTAAGTCATTGTAACTAAAATAACACGATAGTATAATTTCATTTAAGATGTATGCTAAAAGTTGGTTGACTTACCACTATACACCGGGAAAAAATAACTGCAGAAAAGAATAAAGTGCTAGTGACGACTGACGATTGATTTTTGTGATTTCAGGTATATACTTGGGGGAAAGGTTATTGTGGTGCATTGGGGCATGGTGATGAGATTGATAAGACTACTCCGTCACACTTGACCAGCCTTAAGAGCCATCTAGCAGTTCAGGTCTGGCATTCTTTTACATTTGCTAGTCGACATTACAAGCCCAGTATTAACTAAGGCAACATTTGGAAACATGAAATAACTCAAACTAGTGTATAACGCAAGTAATATGATACAAAATAATTCAAGGCTTGTAAAATATATAACAGTCTTCCTAGTCCTAGCTTTATTTTGCCTGCCCCGTCTTTTAATCATTTACTTGTATTAAATTTTATGATTTTGGTAGGTTTGTGCAAGCAAGAGGAAAACGTTTGTCCTGGTGGACAATGGTTCTGTTTATGGCTTTGGCTGGATGGGCTTTGGTAGCCTCGGATTCCTTGACAGAGGAGCATCAGATAAAGTTTTGAAGCCTCGGATCCTGGAGAGCTTGAGATCCCATCACATATCTCAAATTAGCACTGGCTTATACCACACCGTAGTTGTTACAAATTGTGGACGAGTCTTTGGATTTGGAGACAACGAAAGAGCCCAACTTGGGCATGATGCAGTAAGGGGATGCCTTGAACCTACTGAAATGTTGCATGAATAATGCAAGCAATAGCGGAAAACACGCCTCGTACAAGAATGTACTAGTATCGAGCACTAAAGTGCCAAAGTCGTCTAGTACATGTTACTAATCAAATAATGTATATTGACCAGACCAATATTGTTTGTAGAGTGTTATATAACATTTCAAAAAAGGACTTTAAATGTTTTGCTTTGTTTTTTATTTGTTTATTGATTAAATCTTTTGTTAGTGTTCTTGTGTAAAGAAATATTTTGTTGTATGATACAAATAAACAATCATACATTATTGTCTTCTGAAGTTCATTACAACCTCTTCCTCATCCCAGGTACAGAAGAGCAGAAAACAACATTAATTAAAGTCTTGAAAAGATCAATTACTCTTTAATGGAGACTTTCAACATGTTAAAAAGAGTCACAATTTCTACCTCGCTGCAATCGTCTTCAATTACCCAAACATAAATTCACACGATATGCAATTGTCTTCAATATTTTAGTTTGTTAAGGGCTGAGTTATGTATTTATTTTATTTTGATTAATTTGAAAGAATACAAATAATTAATAACAGAATAGAGAAAATCATCGAACAGAAAATTTCAAAAAAGATAAAAAAAAAATTAAAATTTAACATCAGCTACGTTTTTGAAAGAGCATATGTTGCCATTTTTCTTTCTAGCATTTTTTTCCCTTTGTTCTTAAGAATTTCAATTTTTTTTTTAAAACAGTAGTTTGTATTTTATATCTTATATGAGTGGAAGTGTTGGAAAATTTCTAATGCCCTCTGTTTTGAATATTTAAATGTTTGAACTTCTTTGAATATGTGTTCATCTGAAATGTATTCGAATACCTAATGATATGTATAACTAATTTAAAATATAAAAATTGTTGGTATTGATTTATGATGAATACAACTCTTTGGCATTCTAGTTCAAGTACAAAAATAAAGGCAGTTGTGAAGTATATACCAAAATATAAATACAAATTAGTTGTAAATCGAAATGATATTGAAAAATACGCGATGAATACATAATACATAGAATAAGTTGTATTCAAAATAAATTGTATTTATATTTCAATATCTAGTTTTGATATATTATTATTTCATTTTAAATTTGCATAAAGTATTTTCTGGCTCAGTTTTTATTTCAAATATTAGGTTGTATTTCAATATCATTTTGTATATCAAACGCATAATGAATATCAATAATTTTGTATTCCCCTTCTTATGATGTATTCGTCGTAATTTTATATATTATGTATTCATAAAAATTATATTGCTTTAGCCAAATAAAATACAAAATATGTCTTACTAAGTTAGTATATCAAATATCAGGTTGTATTTCAGTATGATTTTGTATTTCAAATGAAAAAATGAATACCAATAAGTTTCTATTTCCCTTCTTATAATGCATTAGTCACAATTCTATAAATTATGTATTCAATCATAATATATAGAATTGCAACGGATACATTATAGGGAAAAAGTCCTGATTTACCCCTAAACTTTATGATTTGGAGCTGATATACCCTCCATTTAAAAAATGGCTCATATATGCCCTTGTCGTTAAAGAAATGGCTCATATATGCCCTTTTACTTAACAAATTAATATTTAATAAATTTAAAAAATAATTTTTTTAGCTTTAATTTAAGAAAATGCCACGTGTCATTTAAAATACCCCACCTTCCACCATACACACCCGATCCAATTGGAAACAAAAAAAACTCACCCACTCAAATTAACTTTATCCATTTCATTTCATCGTTTCCGCCTCAACAGAAACAAAAATAAAAAAAATTGTTAGGATCCGGTGAGCTTTACGATCCTGAGATCGGGAATGTAGAAGATCCACCATTGAAGCCAATGGTAATTTGTGAGACAAAAACAAGGATGGAAAAGAGGTCTTAAATATTTGAAGGAATAGGAAACATGGGAATCAAACAAGGATTGCTTTTAAAGGGGATGCGAGAGGAATCTCGACCCTTCGGATCTGTCATATTCTCCAAATAAAACTACTTGGAAGGGCAAGGAAGCATTCACTACCAGTCAATTACAAGCTGAAGTAAAGAAGAAGAGAGTGAATCAACTGACAATGAAGGAAAAATGCCCCGTGGATACTACTATATTTCTGAATTTGCAAACTTTAAATATTAGATTCCAAGGCTCGGTTGCAGATTTGTGATTTGTGCCTAAGTAACTTTTGGTTCATTGTAATGGTTTATGACAACTTTTGATGAATCTTATTAGTCCTTATGTAATGGATTTATCAACTTTTGTATCATTTAGTAATGAAATGAACATGTTTGAAACATTCAAAAATGAGATAGAATCATCAATGACTCGTTGACATTTCACGTTGGAGCTAAAATCATATTTCAAGAATCATTCGAACTGCAGAAATGCTTCTCATTTATCACTAATATTTCATCTCCGAGATGACTCCAAATAAATCTAGGGCATCATCTAAGCTATCTACTACTTCAAAGAAGTTTGTGAAAAATGCTAATTTCCGTCGTAAGTTAAAAATTTTGAGACCGATTGACTCTTGTTTAGAGCTCACCAGAACCCTCACAAAATTTTTAATTTTTTTTCATTTGAGCATGGAAACTGAAAACACTGAAATGAAATGAGTTGGGTTAATTTGAGTGAGTAGGTTTTTTTGTTTCCAATTGGGTTGGGTGGGTATGGTGGAAGGTGGGGTATTTTAAATGCCACATGGCATTTTCTTAAATTAAAGCTAAAAAAAATAAATTTTTAATTTATTAAATACTAATTTGTTAAGTAAAAGGGCATATATGAGCCATTTTATAACGACAGGGGCATATATAAGCCATTTTTTAAATGGAGGGTATATCAGCTCCAAATCATAAAGTTCAGGGGTAAATCAGGACCTTTTCCCTACATTATATACCTATTTGAATGACTACAAACTAAAAAAGAAATACAATGTTTTAAAATAAAAATACAAATGATGAGTAAAAGAAAAATACAATTTTGCAGACTCCTCCTCCTTCTTCTCCTCCTCCCCCTCCCCCTCCTCCTTCCTTCTCCTCCTTCTCCTCCCCCTCCCCCTCCTCCTTCCTCCTCCTCCTTCTCCTCCTTCTCCTCCTCCTCCTCCTCTTTTTCTTCTTCTTCTTCTTATTCTTCTTCTTCTTCTTCTTCTTCTTCCCGATTTTCTTCATCAAAACCGAATCTGAATCCGTATTCACTTGTGCATTAGTAACCCTATAGGCAAAAATCAAAATTATTAAACATGACTGTATAAAAAATCAAACAATATATGATGTATGGGTGCTAATGTAGATTAACAAAATCTACTAAATCTCAAATATGAAAACAAAATCACAATCGAGAAATCTCTTGAATTAATAAAGAGATTTCATTTAACAATCGATAAAATTTCTTGAATTAAAATATATATTTGATGAACAATTTGGAAATGAGAGTGATAATGGGTATTGATTTAATTTGGAAATGTGGGGGTAGAAACATGAAAGGTGAAGAAGGAAGGTTAATGGGTATTGGTTTAATTTTTCTTCTTCTTTTTAAACGGTTATTGGTTTAGAATTTGGTCCAATATAAGACTGTTTTCATAAATAAAATTAATTTTAAATAATAAAATCTGAATACATATTATTTTCTAAAATATTGTGATTCTGTTATTTTAAATAAATATTTTAAAGTGTTGTTGTTTGGACTAATTATGTTAGGTATTATGACTTAATTGCTAATTTTTTCTTAATTTTATATATTAGAGTAACATGTTTTGATACAATTATATTTGGCTAACGAATATAATTATTTTTGGGAAAAATTACAGAAATCCCACATTTTAATTTACTTATTACCATTATCCCCTATAAGTTTTACAAATCTCCAAAATCTCTCATTTTCGCGCATCAGATTAGTGTATCAACGCTTATATTATTGTATCTCGCGCATCAGATTAATGTATCAGCGTTTATATTATTGTATCTCTCCCATGTATCAGCGTTTATATTATTGTATCCGTTTGAAAAATTTCTGTAATTATAAACTTTTAATGGATAAATTATAATTTTGCCTTAAAAGTATGTGATTTTTGTAATTTGCCCTTTTTTTTACCAATCGCAAAAAGTGTAACTTGCTGTTACTTTTCCTATTGGACCAAGAATGAAGCAGCCCATTAATATGATGGGCCAGAAGCCCATTAATTAAAAGTGCACAAACAGTCACCGGCGCTGCAAAAATAATAGCAAAACCCCAGTCTTCGCCGTCACATTTCAACCATGGCGACGCTTAAAGAGATCTTAACACGCCGCCCTATCTCTGCCACGATCCGTCTCACCGTCGATGCGGGAGCAGCTAAGCCCGGACCACCAGTAGGGCCGGCCCTCGGTCAGTACAAGCTGAACTCCATGGCATTCTGTAAGGACTTCAACGCTAGGACCCAGAAGTTCAAGGCTGGAACACCAATGGCGGTGACTATCACCGCATTCAAGGATGGGACTTTCGATTTCATCGTTAAGTCTCCGTCAGTAACTTGGTACCTAAAGCAGGCCGCTGGAATTGATCTGGGAAGTGGCCGCCCGGGCCATGTAACGGCGTCGACGTTAACCCTAAAGCACGTTTATGAAATTGCGAAAATCAAGCAGAGTGACCCTTTTTGCCAGTACATGCCTTTGGAGTCAATTTGTAAGTCTATTATTGGGACGGCGAATTCTATGGGGATTAAAGTTCAGAAAGAGCTGGATTGATTGAAACTGCTGTGTGGGTATTTCTGTATCTTTCTCTTTTTCTTTGTAAGATTTGGAAATGAGAGTGATAAAGTTGTTTAAAGCAATGATTTTGTTGTGTAAGGAAGCATGATATGTGTTAGGGATGTTATCCTAGCAATAAAGATAGCTTTTTTTTAAGTTCATTAGAGGTATTCAAGCAAGTTCAATGCTTTTCATAATATACTGTTATTGTGAATCTTAGAGCAGAATGAGCTAAAACATGTCGATTATAATGCCACTCTTTTTTCTATTTTTGTGTGTCAGCATTAGGGCATGTTTTCCCTCAGATAGAACTAAGGATGAACAATTACTGTACAATTTTTGTTGTTGATGCACACTCTTTTACCATTATAGTATTCCCTCTAAGTAGCATCTTGGTTAGAGAAAGGACGATTGTGGTTATAAGGATGTAGCTTAGGAATAGTAGTTAATATAGTAAACCTGCTTTGTGGTGTTACATATCGATCCATACTTGGTGCATGTTGTCACAACTTATTTTACATCTTGAATTGTATGTTTAACTGTTTGTGTCTGGCTGTTCCTTTGGGTACGTCCAATAGAATTGGAATAATAGCATTAGAGAATCTATTATTTGAAAAAACATACAATACAATAATTTCTCATATCGAATTCGCTCGTGATGCACAATTGGGAATTGGTCCAACATTAACTGTCTGTTTTTGTCACCGAATACAATTAGACTCTTTAGGGTTTCCTTGGAGATCCCTTGCTTGAAATTGTAGTTAGTTTATCTCATATGTTTGATCTGTTAGATTGGCATTCTTCTTAGGATCAATCAGCACACCTTTTTTTTTTGGGTCAAATCCTCCTCATAAATTTTGCTTTTCCTGATTTTAATACTTTTCCATTGGTGATTGTCCATAATCTTAGTCATCTAAAATAGACCTATCTATATTTTCATAATGTCTTCATGTAGAAATAGATTCCTTAGCCACCTCTTGCATTTTGCATCGATTTGGCTGCTTGGTGTCTGTCTTTATGTTTAATTATCGGTCCCCTTTGCATCGCTATGCTGTTGAAGCCGTTATTGCTGTTATATTTTCTTTGCCTCAGTCTGTTCTTTCTCATTTTTCGTGCATCTAAGTTTCCTGTTGGGGGGTGTTTAGTTAGTGCCAGGTTTGATCAGTGATTGCATAGCAGTTCAAACCATCTATGAACCTATGTTCGTTAACTATTTATACTTGTATCATACTACAGCCTGCAATTACCAGGGCTCATTGAGAAAAAATCTAGCTGAAGCCAGAACTTTGCTGGTCTTATTATTGTATCGGATACAAATCCAAGCACCTTAGCTGGAAGTGTGACTTTTGTTAGTTTTAACATTGTGAACTTTGACTTTTACTTGATTGACCTGGTCGATATAGTAACTTCATTTGATCTAGACTTTTGATGCTTCTGCGTTGACATTTTTCTTTCTAGTTTTGGGCATGAAAGAGCAATTCTTTTCATGCTATGACAGCAATACGTGGTCGGTTGATTTTTGTATTTTTGGGTGTTACTGCTTTGTTGAAGTTACTGTTTTATGCTGTTCTAGTTTTCTTTAACCTAGACAATCCTGGAAGTATCTGCATTACACAATTTTACGTCGAGTAGAGGAATGCCGTAAATCTCATGAACACTCTAGTGTTACTCTTCTTTCTAGTGTGAAGAAGGGTACATAGAAGATATCTATTCACGGTTTAAGATATAGGGCCTACTTTGTTTCTCTTTACTTCCTGATCAAAAAATTATCTCTCTTTATTTTCTTTTAGTCTTAGTTCTTAGGTTATCTAGAAGTTTTAAGAGGACAGTTTACTAGGAATATTGATCTTAGGTTACTGTGGTTATTTGGATCTGATAATGCACATTTTTTGTTGTTGTATAGTCTCTTCATAGTTGTAGAGCTAATATATTGTTTGATGATGCAAATCCAACCAACTTCAACATCGTAATTCATAAAAGCAAGTTCAACTTCAGTATATATATTGACCTTTTAATTTGTGAAGTAGACAAGCTGGTGTTATGGTGACTCTTGGTTATTGGGGATTTTTAGTGCATACCTGCATGTAGTCTCTTGTTTTGTTCTGTTAAGCCCACAAGTTTACTCCAGGGTTACTGGCAGCAATGGTTTGTTCATGTGAGGTATGTCACCGCAAGTCTCTGTTCATGTTTTTGCATAAATGAAGTTTCATCCTTTTTCCAAAGCAATGATATGCCTGCTTGTGAAATGTGAGGTATATCACTAAAGTGGGTATGAATTCCACTGAAATCTTGAAAGCTATTTCTCAGTTTTGTAATCTAGATAGCTGTTTCCTAAAAAGTATTTCAGTTTATCTGGAATCTTGAAAGATCTTTATGATGCTCTGATATTCTACAACAACAACAACATACCCTGTGAAATATACACAGACCTTACCACTACCTCGTGGAGGTAGAGTGACTGTTTTCAAAAGACCCTCGACTCATATGAAAGAAGGAGACAGTGAAACTACTCAAAGGTGAATATTACTACATTTTGATGCTATAAGCATAACATTTTTGAGTTCTTTTCAAAATAATACTCATCACTTCATGAGGGATAGTTTTGGTTCAATAACACACCTTGTGTTGCATTTTTGTTCAGCAAATATCTGCATGAAAAAGGGGTAGTGTCTAGACTCCAGGTCATTACAAAAAGGAACAGTGATCTTGTCCCCAAAGTTTAATATCAAGAAAGGACAAACAAATAAGCCAAGGCGAGTCGCCACAAATGGGGTTAAAAAGAGCAAAAGTTGATGAAAAGACAGAATCTTCATATCCAAAAGGGGATTATAATTGATGAGCCACCCAAAATAAATAATTTTGGGACTTGTTGATTAGACGATAACAAGAAAGAAAAACGAACGATGACCAATAAAACATCAATCTTAACATGCTTCTGGATATTCTATGAGTTGCTGTGACTTTTCTTATTTTCTTTTAATATCACTTTACCGTCTTTTTGTTTCTACGATCAAAACACTTAGATGTTCCTGATGCTAACGTATCTTAGAAGATATGCTGCAAAATATTTAAGCACACAAATGAAAGGGTTAATAATATTAAGACACACTTCTTAATGCAAAATGTTTTAGCTTGGTGTTTGTTTCTTAATTCAAAGGATAAAAACTTAACAAATTTCAAATACTACTGTTTTACAGAAATATTTCATACACTTGAAGACCAATTCTATAATTATTCTGAGTTTTTCAAACTGCGCATTCTCTTCGTATGAAAAGTAGGAGTATGATATTGTATTTTCCATGAATTTTTTGTGCGTAATAACTATGCAACGTGTCCAGTTCGTATTAGTGATTTTCTTTATTTTAATGATGATGATGGTTGACAAATGATAATTTATTGGCAGAGCCTCCCTCCATAAATCACCAATTCAAAAGTTTTTTTGTTCCTTCTAATAATAGAGGGGGAAAAACGACGTTTTTAATGATCTTATCATCTTCTCTTTTCGACCACAAACAAACCAAAGAGAAACAAGGAGAGCAAAAGAAAACTTTCTCTAACGTTTAGTTATGAAATATCTACTTTTTAATGTTTACTATATAAAAAAATCTCTCTTACTTAAATTTACTACTAATATACAACTAATGTCTAAATCAAGGCCCCATTTCGTAAGAAAACAATTAATTTATATGTACTGATAATAATTTTTTAAATATTATCAGTGAATTTAAATCGATGCATTAGTTACTTTTTTCTTTTACATTTAGGTGTTCATTTTATTAAAAAAGTAGATGGTATACTTTTACTTGTTCAGTTTAGAAAATTAATATTTTACACTACCTATGTTATTAAGTACTATTCATTTTTAAAATAATATTTTATTTTATTTTTTTTAAAAAAAATGTCAAATCAAACCTAAACAAATAAATATCATTTAGGCTACACTCAACAAATAAAAGTTTCCTTTTCACAAGGAGCTTGAGAGATTTACGGCGTGAATTCAGATTAATCGAATATGAAAAAACAAAATAAAAACAACTACTTGTAGATGTTTAAAGGGATAAGGGTCTGAAAAATACCTCAACTTTGGTCGAATTTGCTGTTGCGATACTAAACTTTCATAAGGACCTATTATCTCCCTAGACTATTTAATACCGTATGTTTAAAATACGGTATTAAATAGTCTAGGAGGTAATAGGTCCTTATGAAAGTTTAGTATCGCAACAACAAATCCAACCAAAATTGGTATTTTTCAGACTCTTATTCCATGTTTAAATGGTTCATTCAATGACCAAGATTAGAACAAAAGAATTTATGTAGTATTTGAAATGACTAACACAATTGTCACTATTTTATTTTTGTTACATTGTTTGGTAGTTTCAACTTGCTCTGATTTGGAAATCTTACAACTCTGCATGCCCCACAGCCGTCGGCAGCTTAAAGACTAGAATATTAAACCTGAAAACTCATACCAAATATACCTTGTTTCCAAGAAGATTCAAAAAGAGAAAGAAAAAAGATTCAATCTTGATTTTTGTTCTTGTTAATCAAGTCTTAAAGTTTTGATTTTTAATATCTGGGGTTTGTGTAAAACTTTGATTGGATTCTTGATTTTGGGATAATAAGACTATGGGGTTCAAGAAAGATGAAGCAAGTTCATCTTCTCATGTTTTGAGTATCCCAAGAGAAGATACACCACTTCTTGGCAAGATTCAACATCTTTCTTCTCCTTCCAAGACTTTTGCTAATGTTTTCATTGCCATAGTTGGAGCTGGAGTTCTTGGTCTTCCTTACACCTTTAAGAGAACTGGATGGGTTATGGGTTCTATCATGCTCTTCTCAGTTGCCTTTCTTACTTACTACTGTATGATGCTTTTGGTCTATTCTAGGCGTAAGGTTGAATCCCACATCAAAGCTGCAAAAATTTCATCTTTTGGTGATTTGGGGTTTGCTGTGTGTGGACCTGTTGGTAGATTGTCTGTTGATCTTATGATTATTCTATCTCAAGCTGGTTTTTGTGTTAGTTACTTGATTTTTGTGGCTAATACTTTAGCATATTTGTTCAGCTATTCAATTGCAAAACCAGATCCCAAAATCTTGGGATTTTCACCCAAAGCAATGTATATATGGGGCTGTTTCCCATTTCAGTTGGGGTTGAATTCAGTTCCCACACTGACCCTTTTAGCCCCTTTGAGTATTTTTGCTGATATTGTTGAATTAGGAGCTATGGGTGTAGTGATGGTTGAGGATGTGATGATTTACCTCCAGAACAGGCCTGTTCTTGAAATGTTTGGTGGGTTCAATGTGTTTTTCTATGGACTTGGTGTGGCTGTGTATGCTTTTGAAGGGATTGGTATGGTTTTGCCTTTGGAATCAGAGACAAGAGACAAGGACAAGTTTGGGAAAATCTTGGGATTGGCAATGGGCTTCATATCTTTGTTGTTTGGTGCTTTTGGAGTATTGGGCTACTTTGCATTTGGGGAAGACACTAAAGATATAATCACTACTAATCTTGGGCAGGGATTGCTCAGCACCTTTGTTCAACTTGGCCTTTGCATAAACCTGTTTTTCACTTTCCCCCTTATGATGAATCCAGTCTATGAAGTAATGGAAAGGAGATTCTGGGAAGGCAGGTACTGTGTGTGGTTGAGATGGCTTATGGTTTTAGCAGTGACTTTTGTTGCATTGGCGGTGCCCAATTTTGCTGATTTCTTGTCACTTGTTGGCAGCAGTGTGTGCATTGTTTTGGGGTTTGTGTTGCCTTCTTTGTTTCACTTAATTGTGTTCAAAGATGAATTGAGATGGCATGGTTTCGTTTTTGATGCTGCATTGATTGTCATGGGCACAATTTTTGCTGTCTATGGAACCTATTCTTCCCTGATGGAGATATTAGCAAAAAAAGCTTAGTTTCTTTTCCTCATAGCATTTCATAAGATGTATATTGAAGAGATTGTTTTTATTCCTAAGCAAAGGGCAAGTAAGTCCACACTTTGTTCCTACTAGTAATTCATTTGTTAAGCTATTGTTTGTGAGTATGTTGAGGGGTGTGAGGGTCATGTTCATGTATGATTGAATATTTACTGCAAGAAGCTATAATTACTCAAAAATGGTCTATTTGGTTATCTCCTCTTTATACTATACTCCACTTGTTATGTTGTTCATTATAACATGAAGTTAAAGACTCTTGAAATTGCTTGGTAGAAATCATTTCAAAGACTAATCCTTGTATGAACTTGGTTTTTGAGGTTTCCTGTGTTATCAAAATACATGAACATTTGAAGTTCTTGTGATCATATGGATGTTTCTCACTGTGATCGAAATATGTGATACGTTAATTTATTTACACTCGGAACTAAAACAAATAGATGCATAACATATGTTTGTATATAGATGTTTTTACACTTAACTATGATTAATTAAAATATTTGTTATAGATTTTTGTTTCATTCAATGACTTTAGTATAAGAAGTTGACAGATACTTAGTTCATGAATTCAAAGATAACACATCAATATGTATTAATACTTCATCCAAATTAAGAAAAGGTATTGGAAGAAAATAGAGATGTTTTTAATAATAATATAGTAATTTTAAAAATCGAAAATCGAGATTACCTGAGTGGAGTGGACATTAGACAAACGTGAAGATTGTGTATGCCATATAAAGGACAAGTCTTATCAGTCCAATTATATTAGGGGAGCCCCCAAATGGATTTCCTTTTATGTACAACGAAAACGATTTCATTTTTATCAATCTTTTTTGTGTTATTGATTGGGATTACACAACAATGGGGTTTGAGACAGACGAAGCAAGTTCATCAACCCATGTACCTGGAGAGGATGTGCCATTTTTGGGCCAAAATCAACAACTTTCTTCTCCTTTAAAGACTTTTGCTAATATTTTCATGTCTTTAGTTGGTGCAGGGGTTCTTGGACTTCCGTACACATTCAAGAGAACAGGATGGGTAATGGGGTCTCTCTTGATCATCTCAATAGCCACTCTTTCTTATTACTGTATGATGCTTCTTGTTTATTGTAGGCGTAAGCTTGAATCCCAATTTGAAGGTGCAAAAATCTCATCTTTTGGTGATTTGGGATTTGCTGTGTGTGGACCTATTGGTCGTTTTGTTGTTGATGTTATGATTGTTCTCTCCCAAGCATGTTTTTCAGTTGGATACATGATTTTCATTGGTAATACTTTAGTATATCTGTTTAATTCTTCTGTCATAGAAACAAATCCCAGAATCTTGGGATTTTCGCCTAAATCGGTGTATATTTGGAGCTGTTTCCCCTTCCAGTTGGGGTTGAATTCAATTCCAACACTAACCCTTTTAGCCCCTTTGAGTATTTTTGCTGAAATTGTTGATTTAGGAGCTTTGGGTGTAGTGATGGTTGAAGATGTGCTAATTTACCTCAAGAATAGGCCTAGTTTAGAAATGTTTGGTGGATTCAGTGTGTTTTTCTATGGTCTTGGTGTGGCTGTTTTTGCTTTTGAAGGGATGGGTATGGTGTTGCCTCTGGAATCTGAGACAAGAGACAAAAACAAATTTGGGAAAATATTGGGTTTGTCAGTTGCCTTTGTAGCATTTTTATATGGTGCTTTTGGAGCATTGGGTTACTTTGCCTTTGGGGAAGAGACCAAGGATATAATCACTACTAATTTTCGACAGGGATCGCTTAGCTGCCTGGTGCAGCTTGGCCTTTGCATAAACCTCTTCTTGGCTTTCCCACTGATGATGAATCCAGTTTATGAAGTGATGGAAAGGAGATTCTATGAAGGCAGATACTGCTTGTGGTTGAGATGGCTTGTGGTTTTGACAGTCTGTTGTGTGGCATTGACAGTACCTAAGTTTGCTGATTTCATGTCATTGGTTGGTAGCAGTGTGAGTGTTGTTTTGGGGTTTGTGTTGCCTGCTTTTTTTCACTTGATTGTCTTTAAGGATGAGCTGGGCTGGTATAGTTTGGCTTTGGATGCTGCATTTATTTTCATGGGCACAGCTTTTGCAGTGTATGGAACCTATTCATCCTTGGCAAAGATCTTTTCAGAAATGGCTTAGCTTTTTCTTTATTTTTCATGTGAAGATATTTTTATACGATGCATATTTCGCACCCTGATAAATTTTTCAAGTTACCCTTGGCCGATGATAAACAGCATACCAACAAGAAATAAAGAAAAAAACAATATAAGATAACTTCTTTTACTACCAATCCATAATTCAATTAGTTTAGCAATACAACATAAGTGACAAGATGGAAGCACAAAATGCACCAAAAAAAAAAAAAATCAGTCGCAAGGATCCCAAATCCACCTCATAAAACAAAATACCTCTCCCATATAAACTGATAAAAAATGCTCATTATACACTTTATACATTCAATATGGGTGACCAGCAAAAGTTGTGTCCACCTTGAATCGAAAAAATAATGTGGTAGAAAAGGTCAAAATTCACATGGAAAAAAAATGTAAAAATCAAGCTAATAAAATAATAGTACAACAGAGCTTATCGTGATACTAATGCATGCCGCACACATTTTTATCTAGTCACAACATTACATACCTACAAACAACAAACTGGCCAAAAGATACAGTAAAAATGAAATAAAGACTTCGTACTAGTACTCCATCCCATCAAAACGCTTTCCAACTATCAGAATCTCTCCTTGGTGTCTGATTCTCGACCGACGTCTTAAATGGGTCATTTGAACCAAATGGATCGGCATCATCAAAAGATGTGAAACCATGACCATGATCTGTGTCCCTGGTACTACTCATGGAATCAAACCTACTTAGTGATTCGCGAGGAGGAAAGAGCCCAAAATTATAGTCAGAGTCTGCGGTGCTGCGAAATGAATCGAACCTAGCAAATGAGTCCCGTTGCTGGAATGAACCATGATCGTAGTCAGAGTCTCTGGTGCTGCGCATTGAATCAAATCTTGAAAGAGAGTCACGAGTGCCAAAAGGGCCACTATCATTCATGTTAAAGGAGTCAAATCTGGAGAAGCTGTTCGAGTTTTCTTCAAACCCTTCACTATGTCTTCGGGGCGAGTTTGTAGAACTGTACATAGGTGTGCTAGGAACTGAGTCCCCGAAGGCAAACGGACTCTTATTCTGGAACATATTATCTGCACTCGGGGAGCCTCCTGAATTATAAGCTGGTGTGCTAGGAACAGAATCAAAGAAGGGACTTTGCCTCGAGAACAAGGTATCAGTCTGAGTGAATCCAGAGTTGTAACTTGGGGTGCTTGGAACAGAATCAAAGAAAGGGCTTTGCTTCGGGAACGTGTTGTCTGAATAACTGAATCCAGCATTGTAACTTGGAGTGCTAGGAACAGAATCAAAGAAAGGGCTTTGCTTAGGGAAGGTGTTGTCTAACCCAGCATTGTAACTTGGCGTGCTAGGAACAGAATCAAAGGATGGCATTTGATTCGGTAGTGTGTTGATGGACTGTTTGGACCCCGTTTTAATAGGGGCTAAGCCCCAATCGTCATCTCCAAAAAGAGAAGATTCCTTGAGATTGTCATGATCTGAATCCTGCATAAACAAAGAAAGTAAGCAATATAACATGGACTTTCAGCTTTTGAATAATGTCAAAGGTATTCTACGAAACGAGACAAACTCTGCAAACGAGTAGAAGGTTGCCTAGACAATAATGTTCTACAACATGATAAGTTCTTCATCTAACCAACAGTTGCAAAAGTGAAAAAGAAAATGCAAAATAATCTATTTACCTTTGCAACAGAATTGACATCCCATGCAGCATCAGTGTCAAAGTTGGTATCAAACGTACCCCAGCCAGATCCATCAAAACCTTTATCCCTCGAGAACACAGATTCAGTACCCCAGTGTTCACTGCACTCGTAAAATCAAACGAAGAGATTCAGATTTATAGGGAACTGTACAATAATTTGTAGAAGGTGAAAACCCTCTACAATTGAGTATTCTAGGCAATTTGTGGTCATTGGAAAACAAAAGAATGTGGTATACTGAATCACAAAAACGAGGAAGAGAACCACCATATTACCTTTGGGCAGCATTGGGTGAACCATCAAAACTAGTCTCCTTCCTGTACAGAACATACTCAGAATTCTTTAATAGGAAACAAGAGAGCATGATAGACTAAATGGTCAAAAGAAGAGAGAACCGCCACATTACCTTTGCGCACCATGGGGTGAACCATCAAAATTGACATCCTTCCCGTACATAGACTCTTGGAATTCTTTTGACGGGCTTTCAACTGCATTACTCCTTGATGGACTATCAGTTGGACTTCTTGCTGTTTGCTGATGTCCATGTTCCATGTCACTAACTTCTCTAGCTTGTACATGGTTTGGCAGCTTATCTATCTTTGCATCAGTATCAGCATCAGCAGATGATTTTCCAGAATCATGTTCAGCTAAAGAAGATGCTTTCTCGCGAACCAATGAAGACTTCGTTTTAGGAGGGGCAATGACGTTTTTCACATCAAGTGTCAGCTCTTTCACAAATGTGAATCCTGGAAGAAAAAGAATTCAACAACAAAGTGAGCCAAATATGCCCTCACATCCAAAAGCAACACAAAGAAGAAATAAAACTGATTCACTGGCCTCTGGAGGCATTTTGAGTGTCAGCACTTCGATTAACAAGCTGACTTCCTAAAACATACCTTCATCTTCAAACTTATCCCACTCTTCATCCCAGTCTGCTGCAACCTCTTGGATGCCTGGTTGCCAACCTTCGAAAATACAAATAATAGTATGAGAAAGCATTTGAAAAGAATTTACATCAAAGAAAATTACAGACCAGAAAACACATTGAACTTAGGTACACAAATTTGACGCTGGTGACAGTGGCTAAAGTTATACACCACGCAACTCCTACTTGGCACTACAAATTGCTGACCAATGGAGAATACACACGGATCTCCAAAGAAAAAAATTAGCATCATATCATGAACTAAATGGTCATGAGGTAAATATAAAGAGGGAAGACTTGTATTTTGAATTGGAGGTTTCTTCAGAGAAATACTGGCCAAAAGAGTCAAATCCATAAACAGTCAGTAACAAGTTAATTCTCATGCCCCAATAAAGAATACACTCAAATTAGCTGGAAGAATGAAAGGCTTCGGCTTGAGATTGACCAGTGACTTTTGGATCTCTGTTATAGGCGGTCGAATGTCCAGCTAACGTGCCTCGTGGAAAATTCTTTTTGCAGGCCCGTCCAGCTCATTATATTATTTGCCAAGAATCAAGATAGGTGAAACTCAAATGGCACTTCTAAAACAGAACAGACTCCGCTAGAGTCACAATTTCTTCCAGGGAACCATTTTTTATCATCAAGATTCTTCTCAGGAACAATAGCTTAAGTCACAATTCAGCACCCAAAATAACAAGGCATTGGAGTTATATTTTCGAAAGGATCTTCTTTATTAGATTTTACTGATTTAAAAATGAAAATATAGCAATAGATGAGACAACCAAATGAAAGCTCATATCTTCACACAAAGTATAAAAGACTTGTACAATTACCAAATGGAAGCTCAAGCAGTGTAGTTGGTTTAGCTCGTAAACCATAAGTTTTGCACCGTTCATTCAGTGATTTTACTAGCTCCTCAAGGTTCACCTGAATGTGACTAGCACGGTCCTATAAAAGAGAAATGACTGCTTCAAAAAAGTTCTACTTATCTCTACCAAATTGAGTAGTGAGACGATATTCCAACCTGGATACCATCAGTCTTGCCATCTTGATCCATTTTAACAATTTCCTTGTATAGCTCCATTTTTTTCTCCTATAAAAGGTTCAGCAACATAACACCATTTAAATTCAAGCCAATTTCACATGATTTACAAAGAAAATATGAGAAAGGGAAGTTAACTTTGCACCAATGCATTTGACAAAACAAATCCACAAATACCTGAATATCCCGAAAGGTGGCCTCTTCAATTGTCAATTTAGAAGCAACATCTCCTGTCTGCTTGTATTTCTCTTCATATTTTTTAGCCAATAACTCAACCTGTCAAATTCTCCATTTTAAGTTAAACAACATATATGAGATGTGGTTTCCTATGTTCAGAAAAGTTTTTACCTCTCTTTTGTCAGCGGAAGTTCTTTGAGTGATCTCATTTAGTCTATTGTCGCATCGACTTTTGTATAAAATCTGGTAAAAGAAATAACAGGAGAACACAGACCATTATAGCGTTGTAGGATCTCTTCTTTTGGTATACAATTGTTAATGAAATTATTTACCTTAACAAAAAAAAGAATATCTAGATCTCTGAATATAATTGATTGAAGTTGAGGTGCATAAAGATCAGGCACTCACTATTTCTTGCATCTTTGCATGGTAGAACTGAATTTTTTCTTTTGCTTCCAAAATTTCCTTCTCCAATTCCATGACCTTCAATATTATAGCATAGAGGGGGGAAATTGTATTAATTAGTGTTGGCAGTTGCAAGCACTTGGAAGTAACGCAAGCACCAACCGACATAAGAAGAGGCTCCACTAGAATTAAGTTAAATTCACACATGAAGATCCATGTCTGGTCCTTCATAGCATCAAATTAACAATTAAGGAAATTCAAAAAATGCCAAATATTCATTGATTATAGTTCTCTAAACACTGAGAAATAATCAAAAGTTAGTGCTACAACTGACATGATAACCAAGGAAATTATGATAAGACAGACACAAGTCACAACAGTATCCATACCATGCATATAATTCACATTCTGAAGCAAATTAAATGTAGCATTGTTGTTTCACACATCAGACAAACTATTTGTCAATTGGTTCCGAAAGAAAAGTGTCCATTTGCCTTCTAGTACATCAGACCCAACAAATAAATACAATATAATCTAGTGTTGAAATAAAAGAAGACGGAACACACCAGCAAATACTGCCAAGTTTCCTGCAATGCACAAAACTGCATCTAGGTGCAAGTGTTAAAATGGCAATCGCATTCGCACACTTCACACTTCACTAGTAGACACATACTGTTCAAGATCCATCTCAAATTGCAATTTGTTTTCTCACTTGTTTGGTTAAAGACCCAATTCGTGAAACGTAAATTCAGATAATCATG